TAAGCTTCTGTAATTCATTAAACCTGTGCTTCGTGTTTTACAAAAGTATGTTTACTGAAACAAAAAAAAAACCTGAACATTCGACTTACTATTTCACTAAATTTCAATGCACACAGGGACTCAATTTTTAGAAGAGCCCATTCATCAATTTTTAGACTTTTGCTTTGAAAGCTAATTTAACTGGTAAATGAAACAAGCTGATTCTGAATCTTTGTTTCATAATATTAGAGTGGATATTGCTGATGCCAATGTCATTGTAAAGGTTCTCACCCTAGAGTTATACTTATTTTTGGCCTGTTCAAAGGACAGCTCTATGATACTATAAGCTCAATGATACCGAGAGCAGTGTCCCAAAATTAGACTCATTGAACGTACCGCCATGCTTCCGGATTTATCCAGTACTAAACACACAATTCTTTGTCCAACCTGCAGCAATGAGAAGGTGGGTGCGGGGGGCTGTGTATTCATAGGAGTGGTTTTCTTAAAGTCTTCAGAGTCACTGATCACCTCCCATGTGCTCCGGAGATTGCACTTTTGATTTTGCATGTTTGGGGCTTCTTTATTGTGGTTTTGTTCTGTGCAGAATTGGACCACCTATAAATGTCAATAAATAACATTTTACAGAGAGAACAATTATCCACTAGCTAGACTATTTATTTACTCATTAATATTTTAAAATATGTTGACACTTTTGTCCTTCTCACTAGTCTGCTCTTTTTAATCTATACCCTCAACTCCATAAGTAGACAGCAGACTACTGATTGGGAAAATCACTGAGTCACCATTGTTGTTGTTGTTATGTGCCGTCAAGTCGCCTGCGACTCATAGCGACCCTATGTACAACAGCCCTAAACTCCGCTCTGTCCTGTGCCAATCGCACTGTCTCTGACACTCCCATCCCAATTATCCCAGTCACTGAATCAATCCACCTCATAGAGGGCCTTCCTCTCCTGCGCTGTCCCTCCACCCTCCCAAGCATGATGTCCCTCTCTAAGGACCAGTTTCTCCTCACAACATGTCCAAAGTATGTTAGACGGAGCCTCAGAATCCTTGCCTCCAAGGAGCCACCCGGTTTAACCCTTTCCAGGACAAATCTGTTTGTTTTCCTAGCAGTCCATGGTATTCTCAATACTCTTCTCCAGCACCACAGCTCAAAGGCATCAATTCTCCTTCTATCCTCCTTGGTCATTGTCCAACTCTCTGATGCATAACAGGTGATTGCGAAGACCATGGCCTTTATCAGATGCACCTTAGTCTCCAAAGAGACACCATTGCTCTTCAGCACTTTGGAAAGGTCCTTAACAGCAGACTTTCCCATGGCAATGCGCTTTTTACCAAGTTCAAGCAAAACCATATCACCAGATTCATGGGATCCTTAGTGTTTCTCAGCTATCCATTATGCAGATGACAAAACCCTGCTTTCTAAAACTGAGGAAGACCTGAAGTGCTTGCTGCAAAGGGTCAAGGACTGCAGCCTTCAGTATGGATTGAGGCTCAATGTCAAGAAGACAAAGATTCTCAGCACTGATGGATGGTGAAGAGATTGAGATTGTTCACAGCTTTAGTCTGCTTGGCTATACAGTCAACACTCTTGGCACCAGCAGCCAGGAATTCAAAGGCGTATTGTGATGGGAAAGTCTGCTGTTAGGGACCTTTCTAAAGTACTGAAGCGCAACGGTGTCTCTCTGGAGACCAAGGTGCATCTGGTATAGTCCATGGTCTTTGCAATTACTTGTTATGCGTCAGAGAGTTAGACAATGACTGAGGAGGATAGAAGGAGAATTGATGCCTTTGAGCTTTGGTGTTGGAGAAGAGTATTGAGAATACCGTGGACTGCTAGGAAAACAAAGGGATTCATCCTGGAGATAGTTAAACTGGGCTGCTCCTTGGAGGCAAGGATTCTGAGGCTTTGTCTGACATACTTTGGTCATGTTGAAAGGAGAGACTGGTCCTTGGAGAAGGACATCATGCTTGGGAGGGTGGAGCACAGGCACAGGAGGGGAAGGCTCTCTAAGAGATGGATGGATTCGGTGACTGTGGCAATCGGGATGAGTGTGTCAGAGATAATGAGATTGACACAGGACAGAACAGAGTTTAGGACTGTTGTACATAGTGTCGCTATGAGGCGCCAGTGCCTTGATGGCACATAACAACAAGCCATTGAGTCGCTTGCGACTCATAACGACTCTACCTACAACAGTCCTAAACTCTGCTCTATCTCTTGCCAAACTTACTGCCACTGCCACACCTATTCCCATTACCCCAGTGAAGGAATCAATCCAACTCATCAAGGGTCTTCCCCTCCTGCGCTGTCTCTCCACCCTTCCAAACATCATGCCCCTCTCCAAGGACTGATGCCGCCTTGCACTATGGACAAAGTGTGTCAGACGAAGCTTCAGAATCCTTGCCTTCAAGGAGCAGCCAGGCTTCACACTCTCCAAGACAAACTTTTTTGTTCTCCTAGCAGGCCATGGTATATTCAATACTCTTCTCCAGCACCATAGCTCAAAGGCACCAACTCTCCTTCTATCATCCCTAGTCACTGTCCAGCTCTTTGATGCATAGCAAATAATGCCAAAGACCTTGGCCTTAGTCTCCAGACTGATATTATTGCTCCTCAGTACCTTGGAGAGGCCCCTGACAGCAGACTTTCCCAGTGCAATTTGTCTTTTAATTTCCTGGCTGCTGGTACCAAAAGTGTTGATTGTAGAGCCAAGCAAACTGAAGCTGTCAACAATGTCAATCTCTTCACCATCTATCATGATGCTGCTAATTAGTCCAGTGGTGAGAATCTTTGTTTTTCCTAATGCTCAAATTTTCCATTTCAAACCACCACTACTCTCTTCAACCAGCCCACTCCCCAGCGTTCCTTTCTTGAAACTATCTTATCCCTTCATTTACATCACTAAGCTCCACTTCCTTACTTCCCAGCAAACTCTATGATCTGAATTTTACCTCCCTGCCCACTCTCACTTTAGGTATGCATTCCAACTCTCTAACTTCACAACTCTAATATTTCTACTGTAGCCTGTAAATTTCCAATCATGCCAGACAGTTTCATATCTCCATATCCTGGCTCATGAGTCCCACCCATATTGTCAAGAAATCCTTCTCCATTTTCTGCTTGGAAAACTCTATCTTCATGTTGTAGTCAAAAAGTCACTTTCAAAATACTTTCTTATTTCCTCCTTTTTCCACAGAGAACTGTCGCTTTTCCCTTTGTGCCCTCTTTGTACTCTGTAGAGACTTTTTAAAGGTCTCTTTCACTTAATAGTACACTTCTTGGACTATAAATTCTACTATGACAAAAAACATTTTCCAATATAATTTTACTTCCTCAAAACTTAGTCTGGTGTTTGGCACCTAATAAAAGTTCACTATACATTTGTGTTGTTTCTGCATAAGTTTAATTAATGTTCACTTCTGTTTTTCTTATCTGTAAAGTAACTATTATTATGCAAAAATTAAATGACAGTGTATGTAATACGGTTAATAAATGATGATTGTTTTCTCTTTCCTGTGCATTTGTAGGAATTTTTTAAAAGGAGGAACAATATACAAAGAAGATATTCTCCTCCTAGTTCCTCCCCTCAGTGAGGTAACAGTGCAGACATACCTCACAGATATTTCAAACTTGCTTACAGATCACCCCATAAAGAGACTGTCACAATAAAGCACGTCTTTATTTTCCATTTCCCTGTACATATAAAAGTTACATTTACACTATAATGTGGTCTTTTCCAACTCATAATGATGACCTTTGATCGGATTTGTGAGGTTATATATCTTTATGGCAGAAAACAGCTTACCTTTCTTCTGCGAATCATGAGGAAGGTTTGAATCACTGGTTTTTAGGTCAGCAACCCAACATATTGTGTACTAGACCATCAGGGAACTTCTGGTTTGGGAGCCTATTAGGGAACTTTAGTGGCGTAGCGGTAAGGAAAACTGCGAACCCAAATGCACACGCAGTTCAAATGAAATCACTGTTCCATGGGTGAAAGTTGGGTCATCTCCTCCCATGCAATTACATTACTGTTTTTGAAAACCTCCTGGAGGGTCAGCTATGAGCTAGGAGTTTGTTCCAACTTCACAGCACATAACAACAAACAACTGTTAAGCATGCAGTAGAATTATGGAAAAAAAATATGAACTCTTATAAGAATAATCCAAAAGTAACACAGAGACACAAGTTAGCACATGAAAAAAACGATGTCAGTGAACTTGTTCAACACAGTTACCACCAACTTTCAATTAATTTGTTAAAAAAATACCTTGCTCAATTATCAATGAAGTGTAATAAAGTATTGTTATTAGGCACCATCAAGCCAAGTAGATCAGAAGCCTGACCCTATCCTGCACCATCCTCAGGATCCCCGACCTGCTTGAGCCCCTTGTTCTGTGTCAACTTATCTCACTGAGGCCCGTCATCTCTTTCACTGACCTTCCTCCCACTATGATGTCTTTTTCAGGGACTGGCCTCTTCTGATAACATACTCCAAAGTGAGATGAATTACATTGAGAAAGTCTGCTGTCAGAGACCTCTCCAAAGTACTAAAGAACACAAAGATGTCAGTCTGAAGACTAAGGTGCTTCTGATACAGGCCATGGTCTTTGCAATTACTTGCTATGCATCAGAGAGCTGTGCAATGACTAGGGAGGATAGAAGGAGAGTTGATGCCTTTTGAGCTTTGGTGCTGGAGAAGAGAAATGAATATACCATGGCCTGCTAGGAGAACAAAAATGTTTGTCTTGGAGAGGGTGAAGCCCGGCTGCTCCTTGGAGACAAGGATTCTGTAGTTTTGTCTGGCATACTTGGAACATGTTGAAAGGCAGGATCAGTCCTTGGAGAGAAAGTCATACTTGAGAGGGTGGAGTGACACTGCAGAAGAAGAAGACCCTCAATGAGATGGATTGATTCCATCACTGGGGTAATGGGGATCGGTGTGTCAGAGAGAGTAAGTTTGGCTAAAGATAGAGCAGGGTTTAGGGCTATTATAAATAGGGTCTCTATGATTCACAGGCAACTCAACAGCACATAACAACAACAAACATATTGTCGATATGGATTATTTGTCTGAAAGGAAACCTGAAAAACTTTTGCAATCTTTAGGCAGAGTGTTCCAACCCCAGATGAACATAAAATTTAACCCTGTGGCTAAGTTAGAATACTTAATCAGCCCTTTTAGGAGGGAACTCTGGTGGTCTAATGGCAAGAAGCTGCGCTACAATCCCAGAGGCACGCAGTTCAAATCCACCAGATGCTCTGCTGGAGAAGGAGAGGCAATCTCTTCCTGTACCAGTCGGATCTGATTTGACGGTATACGCACACAAAATAAAATAAAAATTAAAAAAATAAGGGAGCTCTGGTGGCCTAGTGGCAAGATGCTTGCAGTGCAATCCCAGAGGTACATGGTTCAAATCCACCAGATGCTCTGCTGGAGAAGGAGGGGGCAATCTCTTCCTGGACCAGTCAGATCTGATTTGACGGTACACGTAAAAATAATACAATTTTTAAAATGAAATAAATAAATAATTAAAAAAGAAGTTTTGCAATAATTCAGGCAATAAACAGAGACAAAGTCAGACTAAAGGACAGGCCTTTCTAAAATTCACGGGGTGTTCTTAGACTTTTGCAAGTTACTTCACCTTCTGTTCCAAAGACCAAACTATTTTATGTAAAGAAACTTGCACTTATGTAAAGATCTGCACTAAAATCAGTAAATTTAGAATTTTCATTTTATCGTGGGAAAATTTGTTGATGTATGGACAAGCAATTCCAACCCAATGGCAATTACAATGAGTGATTAAGTCAAATTTAATTTATGACCAATAGATCATGAATACAATCCCTAAAAGTTATTTAAAAGCTATTTAAATCAAGTGTGGCTGTGTACAAATTCCCCAAGGGCATCAACACTGGCGGGGGGCGGGGAAGAGGAACCCATCAGAACATTTCAGTATCAACTAAAATAACATTGACAAGAAAGTTCTCTCCAAAAGTCAAATTAAGTGCTCAGATCATGTAGTTGTTTGTTTTGTTGTTTGTTTGTTTTTTTTTTCTTATACGTCACTAACAATACTCAAAGTAGTTCTTAACATTTTGCTAGTTGAGAGGAGATGATGGAAGAATGGACCTAAGGGAGAGGTCGGAGGAACACAAGACTGGATCAGTGGTTTCTAGTCAAGCTTCTCATCATCGACTGATAGCTTCTCTAAGTGTAGATCTGTCAGAACACTAGGACAAACATCTTACTAGTTTAGAATGTTATGAGATTTATATCAAAATTAATCTAGGAAAAAGAAAGGACAGGGTACTTACAGAATTAATACTTTGTGCAAACATTATGGATGCCTTTGCAGTCTGATGTTTATCTGGTAGGAACTCACATCCTTTTTCTAATTTCCCTGTTAGTCTGTCTGGTCTGCATGATCTGGTAATGCAGCTGCCCCCCTGGCACACTTTTATCACGGGTTTACCAGTAATAGCTCCAGAACATCTGAAAATAAATCAACGTTAGATATTTAGATAACACAGGGATTTAAAAAAGTTAGATTCTGTGTTCAGTTTCTCACAAATGACCTAGTCTATAATTTCCTCTCATGATTCAGGCAACAAGCACATCCTTCTTCCAGCAGACAAACTACTGCATTAAACAATAACAGTTCTCATACCAGTCATTTCTGTTTGCTTGAAAGTATCTCAGCGCCTTCCAGGAAGGTATTTGCATTTGTTTCTCAGCAGAAGAAAAAATAAGTCTGTTTTATGGGTACTGTTAGATTTAGTAAGGGTCAGAGTACTCTGTCATCTCGCTTCTAGTTCTTGGAAAACCAGGAGCCCTCTTTGCTGCCCTCTAACATCTTTTGCTGACATTTCTTGCTACAATCTCCACCCCCACTGATTAGTTCATCCTGGTAGCCTATTGGATAGAAGGCTGTGCTGCCAACCCAAAAGCAAGTGGTTTAAATCCACCTGCTTCATGGGAGAAAGATGAGGAATCTCTTTCTTTGCAGTTGTTGTTGTTGTTGTTTAGTGCTGTCGAGTCGTCAACGACTCATAGCTACTCTATGAATGAAAGACCTGTATAACTTGTATAACTTTCATTATTTCTCCAGTTTCATAGGGTTTCCAAAGGCAAGCTGTTTCAGAAATGGATGCCACTCCTGCTTCCAAGTTTGTTTTAATTGGGGAGCTCCACCAAACACTGTCCACCATGGGTAACCATTCTCACATTTGACACCACATCATTGTCACAGTGTTTAGCATCAAAGCCACCATGAGTTACCTCTGTACAGCAAATGGACTGACCTATACCACTTAGAAGAATATTTGACCAAAAACAATTAAAACCAGGCCCCAAGGCCATAGGCTCTTGGGCCCAACCGAATTTGAGAACCAAGGCAAGGTTCAAACTCCATGAGCTCCATCATTCCACATGCCTCCATAATCAACCATTCTCCTTGGCTTTGACCACTGAAAAACTCCTATCTGGGAGCATTCCGCTGCTTCCCCAGTCTCTTCCTAGTCTGATGCCACAGGTTTCTTCCTACAGTCTAACTTCCTTTTGCAGAGTCTGCCATGAGTTATTTCTGACTTGACAGCAATGAGTGCAAGTTCATGCCACTGCTGTCAACTGGATTTTGACACACAATCTTGTGTAGGCTCAGAAATATTAAAAGGTTTTTCTTTATGTTTTAATTATATAGATACTGCTATTGTTAAGTAGAATGTCTTTTCCTTATATTGCATTTTTAAATACTTTTTTTTAATATGCATTCAATTTGGTTCCAACTTGATGGCATACAACAACAACCATTAGAAATAATCTATTATTAATGTGCTCCTGTGTTTCCTTCTCTCTCCATGTATCAAAGTGATATTACATACAGTTTTATTTCCCCCTTTGTATAAACTTGATGTGCTAGACTATTAAAAATTTATTATATAATACTCTTTCAAAACAGGGTCTTAATAAATTTATACTATTTCTTTGATATCATAAAATGAATTTACCTAATTATACTTAGGTTTGCTCCTCTCCCCCACAATCTGTCAGTTTTAGAAGTCACACTTCATTGAATAAACAAAATTTCACATGAAATTTTGACAATTTGCAGTATGACTTGTTGCCAGCATATAACTATCGGATCTGAAAGTTTAGACATTTTAAAGTAACTGATAGCGTTCATTTACTCATTTCCTTTCCTTTCTTTGTCTCTTCCATTACCCTTGAGTCAGAACCAACTCATGTTTGACCCTTCAGCTGCTGTTCAGAGGAGAAATAGCCCACCTTTCTTCCAAGGAGCATCTGGTAGATTTAAACCCATAGTCACATACTACCTTCGGGTTAGTAAGTAGCTCAACTCCAGACTGCATCAACTGACTGAACATTAAATTACTTTATCAGATAATAGGAAACATTTCAGAAATTTGGAATATGTCACCAAATTGCTTTCCAGAACAGTTGAGCCAAGTTTTCCTCCTAATGGTCGTGTATGGGTGCTCCATCCGACTGATAGCAACTAAACAGGCAAGAAAGAACTCTCCTTATTGTCTAACTTACGTGGTTTTGATTACTAGTAAATGTGAACCTTATTAATATGTTTATTTGCCATCATCAGTCCTGCTTTTGTGAATCATTTCTTCTTTTTTGCATATTTTTTGTGTTTGGTTGATATTTAATTGTTTGTAGTTCTAGTGGCGTAGTTGTAAGAAGCTGTGCAGCAATCCCAAAAGCACTCAGTTTGAATCCACCACAGGCTTCTCAGGAGAGAGATGGGCAATCTTCTTCTGTGGGATTTAATGCCTCTGAACACCCACCAGAGGGCAGCAATGGATCCATCGCATACTTGACAGCTGACGTTACTGCTATATGAGGATTCAAGCTTTAAATGCTTTTAGTTTTCATTACTGCAAAACTTTTTGGAGGTTTTATTTCCTAATTTATTTAATAAATGTTTGTTTCTGCTCAATGAAGTCTTGAAATCATATGTAGCCAAATTTAACCTTCCTTCAATTTTATTTGCTATCTTCTCATTTGTCAATGCAGAGAAAAACCTTTGCCACATGATGATTCAGTATTTATTAATATTTTTCTAGATTTTCATGTTTTCTTTTTATTTTTATTTCTGTTGTTATTACTATTGAGTCAGAACCAACCCATAGCTGGCCCTCCAGCGGGCTATCAGAAGTTATAGATTGCATGACAAATTACCCTTCTTTCTCTCACGAAGAATCTGGTGGATTCAAACCACTTACCTTTGCCTTGACAGCAAAATCTTCCCTCTTCCCCCAGAACAGTTACAAACTGTCTTGACACCTTAAGAAATTATCTTTCCTCGTTGATTTGTAATTCCATCAGTTTTATGGAGTCAATCGTTGTGTAATAAGTGTCTAGGAGACCAAGTCTTATTGTGACAAGACAGACTATTCATAAGAAAGTAGTTGTCCAGTAGGCCAAATTGTTTTAATTAATGTACTTTATAAATGCATTAATGATTGGCTACCCAATGCGGACAGAGAGTAGGGTGGAGCTCCCTGATTAAAACAAGCTTGGAAGGAGGAGTGGCATCCACTTCCATAATAGCTTGCCTCCGGAAACCCTATGAACTTGCAGAGAGGATGAAAGACACCCAAGCGTCAAGAACTCTCCTTCATAGGGTCGCTATGAGTTGCCTGCGATTCAACGGCACTTAACAACAAACAACATATTAGATTTTTAATTTTATCAATAAAATTTCCTTTGTTAGTCTTCTTCAAAAATGATCTTACTAAATAAACTCTTAAAAATCCCTGAAACAAATCCAACTGTCATCCAGTTGCTTCTGACTATGACTACCCCTCGTCAGTTGCTGAGTCTGTCAGTCTTGAAGGAAACATGTCCCACAGTCTTTCTCAGTAGATTAAAATTGACAAGCTTTTAGTCAACAAGCAAACACGTAAAACTATACCACCAGGGACCCGTGAATGAAGTCTAGGATTTTTTAAAACGGATGTACTTTTGACTAGCATTTTTAAAAACCCTCCAAATCATCTTAGGTTAATTTTATACTAACAGTGAATTAAAGTCTCAGTTTAAATCCTGCTTTTTTAATCCTTTATCAGGGCTTTGTAGTTATTTTACCATATCTCACATACTTCCCTAGAAATTATTCCTACTTTTATTATACCTATAGTTGCTATATTGAATGGAATATATTTGACTGGTTATTGTTATATAGAAAATAAATTAAATATTTCTTTTGCATTTAACCACTTATAAGTCTCTTACTAGCTTTATATTTATTCTCTTGGATCTGATAAGTAGACTATATATATCATGTGCATAAAAATAAGTTCGTTTTTCCTTTTAGAAGTTCTTCCTTTTACCCTCCAGAAGGTATGTTATTATACATTGTAGTTGCTGTGTAGTGTCAAGTCACAACCAACCCATAGCTGACCCTCCGGCAGGTTTTCAGAGGCAGTTAATCCCATGGGAGGAGATTGCCCATCTTTCTCCCAGGGTGCAGCTGGTGAATTTGATCCTCATGACTTCGGGTTGCAGCACAGCTTCTTGCCACTAGGCCCCCAGGGCTCCCTATTATACATTAGCTACAGTTCCAAGAGGGGTTAGATAAATACTGTAGTAGTAATCATCCTTATTTTTAGGAATGTCTCTGATGAGTCAGTATTAAATATTATGTAGGTTGTAGGCTTTTAATAGTTCTGTACAGTTTTAGCCATCTACCATGGATACTACTGTAAATTTTGCAATTGCTTGTAGATCTTAATAATAACAATAATAAATTATTGGACATAAAAGGACATATATGATTAATGTATGATAATAAAATGTCTTTTTAAGAGGACTTGGCAACCATGTCAGTCATGGTAATGTGGTAGGCATAATTATCTGAAGAAGGAAGAATATGCTGTTTCTATAGATGTTTTTAGTATATATCTTCAGACTTTATATACTAAGACTTTTTTTTTTTCAAATGACTATGCTGCTTGGAACCTTTGTTGTTGTTGTTAAGCGCCAATGAGTCGAGAACGATTCAGAAGATCTGAACCCTGTTCTATAACTATCGTCATTTCTCTAATGTTCATAGAGTTTCCAAAGCTATGTTGTTTAAGAAGTGAATACGAATCCTGCTTCCAAACCTGTCTTAATCTGGGAGCTCTACCAAACATTGTCCACCATGAGCAACATTATGGCATTTGACACATCAGTGGCACAGCACACAGTGTCACAGCAACCCCAAGTTGTCTCAGTACAGTACACTTGACAAGACCAGTTCTGGACCACTTACAATGTTCTTCCCAAATAGAAATGGAAAAGGCAGATGTTAGATTTGGAATGGACATTTGAGAGACTAAACCAACAGCATCAGATGAGTAAGGTGACCTTTGACTTTGAATATGTGGTGCAGAGGGTACAGGCTGAAAGGAATTTGGTAGATGCATGACAAAAACTTTCTGTTCCGTGCTAAAAGAGACCCAGTGATGGCCTATAATATAATGCAAGTACACTGAGCTGACAGAATTTGATGTAATAAAGAAATTAAAGTGGAGAGAAGTAGTGGTCTTTTGTGAGTAATATGAAGCCATAGCTGAATCCTGATCCCCCTTTAAGAAACAATTGCAAGAAATAATGATAGTAAATGAACCAAAGCTGAACCCATCTCCTTAAAAGTCCATCAAGGGAATAAGACTGGAGGTAAAAGTGCAAGGGAGATATTGTAGCAATTTTAATACTACTTTAGATATGTTGTTGTCATTGTTGTGTGCCAATAAGTCAGAACTGACCCATCACTTAAACCCCAGCAGATTTTCGGAGACAGGTAATTGCATGGGAAGAGATTACCCATCCTCCTGTGGAGCAGTTAGTGGATCTGAACTGTGTGCCATTGAAATTACAGAAGAAAAGTGTGGAATTCTATAAAGTTCCTTGTTAGACTCTATTGGGATAATGATTCCTTTTTCTTTTACTTAATATATATTTTATCAATTGTTTAGTCAGACTTTTAAAATTTTTGCGTTTCTGGAAGGTGTTCTACATGACCTTTGAAATGTTTATTATTCCCTTAATTCTATCAGATCATACTTACAATTCTTTAATTTTTAATCATTTCTCTTTTTAGGAAATTCTGGTGGCTTAGTGATAAGGATTTGCACAGCCAACCCAAAAGTATGTGGTTCTATCAGCTGCTCTGCAGGAGAAAGATAGGCAATCTCCTCTCAAGCATTTTATTGCCTCTGAAAATCTTCTGGAGGGTCAGCTATGGATCAATTCTGAGTCATCAGTACATACCACCACCACCAATCTTTTCAGAGTGATGCCCACTGAATTGTCTCTTATTAGGCTTCAGTATCTCAGATATGTTTGCTTTTTTACATATATTCAGAAGCTGTCTGTTTTTCATATTTGCACTGAAGCAGTTTATATGGTCTGAAACAATTTTGCTAGAGCTCTGCTGTGAAACCGTAGAAATCAGAAGCACTATTCCATTTTGTTTCATTTGTGTTCTACTGGCACCACACTGGCTTAACCAAAATTGTGAAATTTCTTCTTGTTTTAATATTTGGCTTGTTTATTGGGTAAAATTCTCATTACTTTTCAGATAGACTCCTACTGTCCTCACAAACATCATTCTGCCCTCAAAGGACTGAGGAAGTGCAATCAGCTCCTTTGACATCCTGATTCTTGGGTTTTTTTTCAAGTATAGATAGCTAGGAGACACTGAGCACAGCGCGGTACAGTTCTTAGAGTTGTTACGAAAAGGAAAAGAAGACTACAGAAAATTGATTATATATAGAAAGCAAGAAGACTTTCAAAAACAGAATTTGTTTAAGGACTGGCTACATTTAAAGTAGTTTGGGGAAAATATTAAGTCAAAATACACATACTGTACTGCTTTGTGTTTTCCATTGGATAAATAGAATTTCTCGTCATTACTGTACTCATCAAATACTCCCCATCGTAGATGAGCCCATTCGTGGACAAATAATCTACCTGTGGGAAAATATTTTAAACACTTAATTGCAATACAAAACACACACACACAAAATCCTGTTGCCATAGTTAATTCTTATTCATAGTGACCCTAAATGGCAGAATAGAGGGATACTTATTGGAAAGCAAAACAGCATCCTTAATGGTCCCTTCTCCCTGATAGCTCCTATCTGTTCATACCTCAGAGCTTGACTACTCCTGCATTTTTGCTTTGATGAATTATTGTGTTACCAATGTTATTGCTACCACCGTCTAACTTTTGAATTATTACAACAGCCATTGCAACAGTTGCCTGGGTCGCCAGTTACTAAGGCTCTTTGAAGTGCCTAATTCCGTAACACCGGATTTGGGCAGTGCTCCTCCTCACTGCAATTTTACTACAACAGAAATCTGAGTGTTATGCATTTCTGCCATCTGGTGGTTACCACGTGAATTGCAGGCATGAGGTTTCCTTCATTCATGCAATCCCTTCACAAATCCACAGAAGCCAATTAATTCGGTCTTTGAGACCATGGGCTACATCGTGCTTATCCTTATAGCCTTAATGCCTCGTCAAGTGGCTGACATTTATTAATTGCCCATTTTTAATAGTGAATGTGAAAGTTTTAGAACCCTAGAAAAGAGCATGATCTCTCTCCCTTCAGCCCTCTTTCCCTCTTTTTCTCTTTCTCTTTCTCCCTCCCTCTCTCTATCCTCTATCTCCTATCCTTTTTCCTACTCCTGACCCGTATCTTTATTCTATGGAGTATTGGTGGAGTCAAACTGCCTGAGAGGCACCACCTTTGAGTTCGTAGCTCTAAGTCTTACTGTCTATGCCACCAAAGCTCCCTGATGGCCCAAAAACGTCCTTTATCTCGGGATGTGGAATGAGTTTAAATTTTGCCATGTGGAACTTTACTCTGCATCATTCTGTATTATAGCACATCTATCTTACAATTGAATAGTGATATATCTGTATTAAATTATTTTACAGTTATCTAATACTATAAAATATAATAAAACATTGTCTTATCTAATACTATAAAATAATAAATCATTGTACTTAGTTTATCTTACATGCCACATTAAACATAAAATTATTAAGTTATGATGAGTATAATAGATTATTTCATCTAGAATCATACCTTGTGGTCCATATTCAAGCAATTTTTTCCCTGCTAGGAGGTCAGGAGTGAAATAAATCTTTTCACCCTTTTCTCCACAGTTTCCTATCTGCTCAGTATAGGGTCCGTCATTACCTGCAGGATTGAGTTCAGCAACTAAAATATCAGCCTAAGGTTTAAGAAAATAACAGAACATGTCATTTCAGTAAATGAATTAAACTTATATACATTGGCATAGTTTCAAATCATTCCCTTTTCCTAAAATATTTTTTATTTAAAAACCATGGCAAATGGGGGGGGGTGAGTGGGAGGGAGGAGGGGTTTGTGCGGGGAGAAGGGTGCAACAATGAATGCATGGAATTCCAAAATCTCTGTAGATGTTCATTGAAATGAAAAATAAACAACCTAAATTAAAAAAAAAAGGAAAGGAAAAAAAACCACTATGGCTTATGGGTGAAAATTTTTTTTTAAAAAATGATAGTCTCACATTTTTGTAAGTCTCAAGTTTTGGTCTCGTATACTCAGGCTTTGCCTTCCAATTTTCAGGGATCAAAATGGCAACATTTTTAAAGTAAAATCTTTTTTCTGTTGCTTCAAATAAGTATGGAGATGCCTGAGTCACCATGTCCTGTAAAGGAAAAAAAAAACAAAATAGAGAACAAACACAGTTATAGATAAAAGTTAACTAAATCACCAATAACCTGTTTTTCACATTTTAAAAGATAATTAACAGATGAGAAAAGGTTAATTTGGAAATGTTGTTTAACATCGAGTTAGAACTGACTTATAGCTGACCCGCCAGCAGATTTCCAGAGACAGTAAATTACACAGGAGATTTCTCATCTTTGTCCTGCAGAGCAGTTGGTGGATTTGAACTGTGAACTTTTGGGTTGACAGTACAACTTCATACGACTAAGCCACTAGAGCTCCCTAATTTGGAAATAAAGTTATTAAAGTCAATAGTGTGTGTGTGTGTGTGTGTGTGATTGCCACATACTTTATGTCATAATGGTTAGCCATGTAGACTCTGGATACTTTCTGGACTCCACAAATTATTCTTGCTATCAGGCAACTTTCTTAACTTTTCTTGAACCTCAGGCCTCCAATTTAGAAAACGGAAGCTGTTTCAACAACTAGCTTGCTACAAGAATCAAAATAAATGAAACATGTGAAGTACTGGAGTCATGTTTATTGTCACCTCCAGTTACTGTCAAGCCCACTCTGACTCATATTAACACCTTGTGTTTCAGAGTGGAACTGCCTTTCATGGGATTGTCAATTGCTGTGATTTTCATGAAGCAGAGTATCAGGCCTTTCCTCTGAGGTGCCTGCAAAGATTTCAGCTGCTAACGTTTCAGTTGGTATTAGATCATTTTCACCATCTACTGGCTCCTGTAAGCACATCTTGTTGAGTTGCCTTTGAGCTGCTCCTGACTGAGGGCTATTTGGCATATCTCACTCACAACCATGATCCCACTCAAAGATCAACTATCAGGTTATTGAGGCTTTAACTCTTTATGGGCAAGACCATCCACCTTTCTCTCTCAGAGCCACTGATGACTCCAAACTGCCAAAGATGCAGCCTTTTGGTTAGCACTACAAGACTATGGACTAAGCCCCAGAGCATTTAGTATATACTCAGACTCACCTTGCTGTAGAGTTAGAACTGACCCACAGCTGACCCTCAATTGGGTTTCCGAGACTTAACTGCATGGAAAGAGATTGCTCATCTTTCTACCTTAGAGCCACTGCTGGATTAAAATCACCAGAGGGGCAAGATCTTTGAGTTATCAGATTAACTCCTTACAGACTAAGCAAGCCATCAGACCTCGCTTAGCATATGTTGTTCTGTGTCATCAGAACCGATTTATAGCTGACCCTCCAGCAGGTTGTCAGAGGTTATAGATCTCAGGAAGAGATTTCCCACCTTTCTTCCGAAGGGCCACTGGTAGATCCAAACCGCATGCCCTTGGGTTGATAGCACAACTTCTTACTAGGAAGCACCGGAGTTCATTTAGCATATGTTGTTATTATATTGACTAATATTGAGTCAGAACAGATTAAGAGTAAGTGCTTTTAAAATACTGTTCGTTTCATCTCATTTGCTCCTTTGAAGATTAATAAAGATTTAATGAGAAACAGAAGTACAGTATAAGCTTCAGTCTCTCAAAGCAAGTAACAGTAGAGAGAGAACCTCAAAACAAAGTGACTCCAACATCTCTTGAGTCATATAAAAATTTTATAGCTAACTAAATGACTGTTGCAATGGGCTCTTGTGTGTCAGGACATGTGAGGATGGCGCAGGATAGTACAGGGTTCAGAGCTTTTGTCCGTAGGGTTGCTATGAGTTGTACTTGACAACTAAATGTATGGAAAGGCATTTGACAGTGTTAATCATAACAAATTATGGCTAACATTGAGAAGAATGAGAATCCCAGGACACTTAATTGTGTTCATGAGAAACCTGCCTATAGACCAAGAAGTATTTGTCCAAACAGAACAAGAAAACACTGTGTAGATTAAAATCAGGAAAGGTGTGTATCAAGGTTGTGTTATTTCTCCGTACATATTGAATCTGTATGTGCAAAGAGCTGGAGTCAGAAAATCGAAAGTGCTGGGCACATTCGGCTTTTCTTAAACTGAAGGAACTAAAGCACAAATTCAAGCTGCGAGTTGCAATGCTTAAGGATGCTATGAGCAGAATATTCAATGATACATAAAGCGTTTTTAAAAAGATGAGTATACAGAGTCATTGTTCAAAAAGAAGTGATTAACACAGAAGAATTTTAAGAAACAAAATATAATTAAGAGGCAATAGTGATGAAGGAGGAAGGTCAGGCTGTCTGAAGGACTTGGTAAAAATAAAGCACCAGAAATTGATGGAATACCAATTGATGTATTTCAACAAACAGATGCTGCTCTGCATGTGCTCACCACGTTGTGCCAAGAAACCTGGAGGACAGCTACTTAACTAACTGACTAAAACAGATCCATATTTATTCTCATTCTAAGAAAATATGACCCAACAGTGTGCAGAAGTTATCGAAAAATATAATTAGTATCACACATAGCAAAATCTTTCTGAAGATTATCCAGAAATGATTGGAACAGTATATTGAAAGAGAACTACCAGAAATACAAGCTGGGTTTAGAAGAGGTCAGTGGCACTAGAGACATTATTGTCAATGTCAGATAGAACTTGGCAGAATGTAAACAGTACCAAAGGGATGTCTATATGTATTTCATTGACATGCAAAGGCTAACCTTGAGGAAAATGGGAATCCCAGAACACTTGATTGTGCTTATGCAAAACCTATACTTGGACCAGGAGGCAGTCCTCAGAACAGAGCAAGGAAACATTGTATGATTAAAAAAATCAGGAAAGGGATGTGTTAGGGATGCATCCTATCTCCATACTATTTCAATCTACATGCAGAACAGATCATTTGGTGGGGAGGAATATGACATCAGGCTTGAAGGAAGACTCATTAAAAACCTACATTATCTAGATGACACAGTCATGCTTGCTGAAACTGAAGAGAACCTGAATTGCTTGCTGCCCAAGGTCAAGGACTGTAGTCTTCAATATGAATTGAAGATCAACATCAAGAAGAAAAAGATTCTCGCCACTGGGCCAATTGGCATCACCATGATAGATAGAGAAGAGATTGGGGTTATTAACTATTTCAGCTTGCTCAACTCCACAGTCAGCACTCATAGCACCTATAGTGAAGAAATAAAAAGGCAAATTGCACTGGGATAATCTGCTACTCTGGGACCTCCCCAGAGTACTGAGAAGCAACAACGTCAGCCTAGAGACTAAGATGTGCCTAATCCAGGACATAGTCTTCGTAATTACTTGTCAGAAAGCTGGACAATGACTAAGGATGACAGAAGAAGAATTGATGATGGTCTTTGAATTGTGGTGCTGGAGAAGAGTCTTGAATATACCCCTGTACTGCCAAGAAAACAAATTGGCCTGTGTTGGAGAGGGTGAAATAAAGTTTTTCCTTGGAAGCTAGGTATTGAAACTCTGTCTCACATACTTTGGGCATGTGGCTAGGAGAGACAAGTCCTTGGAGAAGAACATCATGCTTGGAGGGGTGGAGGAACAACACAGGAGAGGGAGACCTCTGATGAAATGGATTGATACAGTAACTGGGGCAATGGGGGTTAGTGTGTCAGAGTTAGTGAGACTGGCTCAGGACAGGGCAGGCTTCAGAGCTGCTATACATAAGGTTGCTATGGGTTGCAGGTGACGTAACAGTGTGTAACAACAACATGCTGAGCAAATCACTCAAGAAACTGGATCACATGAAGAAGAATGTGGCATTAAGATTGGAGGAACAATAACCTGGGTTAGGTAGATTATACAACCTTGCCTACAAATAATAAAGAAGACTAGAAGCACTTACTGAAGAAGATAAAAAACTATAGACTTGAATATGGATTAAATCTCAAAATCAAGCTAACAAAAGTCCTCACCATTGGACTAATAGGCAACATTATTTTAATGAATGAGATTGGCATTGCCAACAATTTCATTTTACTTAAATTCACAATTAACTCCCATTGTAACAGTAGTTAGGAAATCAAAAGATACGTTATTGCACTGAGAAATTTTTCTGACAAAGACCTCTTTAAAGTGTAAAGATAGCAGTTCAAATTCTAAGGTGTGCTTAATCCAAGCCATGGGATTTTCAATTGTTTCCTTTTTATGTGAATATGGATAATGAATAAGGAAAGCCAAAGAAGAATCTATGTCTTTGAATTGTGGTTTTGGAGAAGAGTATTGAATTCCCAATGGACTGCAAAGAGAGAACAAATCTATCTTGGAGAAAATGCAACCAACATGCTCTTTAGAGGAAAGGATGGTGAAATTTTGTCTCATGTACTTTGGGTATTCTGGGAAAGGTATAAAGTCAGCAAAAGAGAAGACCTTCAATGAGATTGATTGACATAATGACTACCATAATTGATTTGAGCCTGAAAGAAATCATAAGGATGGCATAGGATAGGGTAAAATTCAGATCTTTTGTTCATATGGTTGCTATGAGTTGACTCAATGGAACCTAATAATATTTCAAGGGAGCTCTGGTGGCCTTGTGATAAGAAAGTGTGCTGCAAGTACCAGAGGCATGCAGTTCAAATTCACCAGCTGTTCTGCAGGAGAAGAATGGGCAATCTCCTCCCGTGTGATTTAGTGGCTCTGAAAACCAGCTGGAGCATCAGCTATGCATCCTTTGGACTTGAAAGCACATGAAACCAACAATAACATTTCAAGCATGCTGTCAGGAAGGGTGAATCCTTGGAAACAGACAACATACTGGGAGAGGTAGAAGATCAGAAAAATAGAAGAAATTCTTGAAGAATATGTATCAACATGATAATTGTAACAATGGGCTTGAACATGGTAGAGATTATGAAAATGGCACAGGACCAGACAAGGTTGAGTTCTGTTGTTCATAGGTTTGTTGTTGTTGCTGAGTACTGTTGAGTCAGAACCAATCCATAGCTGACCCTCCAGTGGATCCAGGGGCCGTTCAACAGCACAGGAGGAGATTATCCATCCTTCTCCTGCAGAGAAGATGGTGGATTCAAACCATGCTCCACTAGGATTGCAGTGTAGCTTCTTAGCTACGAGGTGTAGACAATGTGACAGCAGCTAACAATGACAAATGTGTGGTAATATTTGATTTGGGTACAATACTGAGAGTTCAATATATGGAAGTGGTATAATTATGATATCTTTGCATTGACACTTAACGTCTCTAAAATAAAATAGCTGCAGTGCTCACTTCAAAATGCCCTCATAGGTTCCCAAGAAATCTCCTAACAAGGTAGCAGAGAGGTCAACCCAAGATGTTTGTTAAAGAAACGAGATGTTGGGTCTCTTAGCATTGGCTTCAGAAGTATTGAAAGAGGAAAGAAGAGTTGAAAACTGAACCCTGGAACCACTAGCATTTGTGGGAACAGGGGAAGCCAGTAAGACTTGACAAAAGGAGCCAGAGTAAGGACAAGAGATGAGAAAGTAGCAAAGATAAACAAAATCGATAAACCACTAGCAAAACTCACAAAAGAAAAGAGGGAGAAGACACAAATAATCCGAATAAGAGATGAATCAGGTAACATCACAACAGACCCAACTAAAATAAAAAGTTAACATTAGAATACTATGAAAAA